TTGGAGTATTTGAAAACCATTTCATCCCATTATGGGACTTCTCAGTAGTGCGGATCTACGATTCCGCACTATAGGGACTCGAGCCTAGAACCTTAGGTCTAGCGCCCGGATGCTTAACCTCTGAACCACTGAACCGACATCCAACAGTGTTAATGTTTAATTTCAATTGATTTATGATAATTCCTTATATTTACAGTGATACAGTGATATTTTCTAGATATCAAACAAACTAGTCTTGGTGACAGTTTAATAAAAAGATGAAGTTGAACGACACTCAAAATAGCCTCGACCAGTTTCAATCGGTCTTACTGTTTATTGGGAAAACATATTATGCAATGTCTGGAAGATTTTTAGAAGGATGGAAAGTTTTCTAAACGCTTCCCTACCATCTCGGTTTTGTTGACATGTTTTTTGATAATGGTATATATTCGACAGTTTTTCTTGTTAATAACGGTACCAATCAATTGAGGTCAATTTGATTACATTCATTGAAGTTCATATACTCTCAGTAGTATGATTTGTCGTAAACTCACCCTCGAACTATAAGTCGGTTTTAATGAACCAAGTGGTTATGTTATTACATACAGTATCATGTGTTTGAACAAAAGTGTTCTATGTATTGACTAACTCCAGTTGGTGTGTCACAAGAAGCTGTTGTTTCTTCGTTTTTCTTCTCATTCTTCTGAATGATCTTTCATCTTCTACAAAAAACACTTTTGTTAAGTATGCGGATTATCTAAGTGGATGTACACAAAATTTTTTCTTTTCGAAGTCCCTTGAAATGAATGAGTTCTTGACGCTCATTCAAGGACTGGTTGTTTTTAATTATCTCATTCTATATCCTCCTAAATGTCAAAGTGTTAATCTTATCCTGAGTCATGAATAACACTTAAGCACTCTGTTACAATTCCATCAAAGTTGTACTATTAGAGATTCTGAAATAATAACATTGTCAGAGGTAACTTATCTTGGAGTAACTTTTTCTTCTTATCTCCTCACATTTTATTAATATCGAAGAGTCCCAGAGTGAACATCCAGATGACGAATCCAAAATAGGACGAAATGCGCGTCAAACTGGATTCCACTGCCAGCCACTGTCCATCTTTGCTTATAATGCTTGTGAATTTAGGCTATATCGAAGCATTACTCACAGTATGCACATATGCTAATTAGAGACTGATCAGTTGCAGTCCTAAAAACATCAATGGGAAGATTCAAACAAACAATACTAAGTAAATTTCAGTATAGAAGAAAGTTTTCCTTTTAAATTATTATATAAAGATGCTAAATACTACTGAAATCACTAAATATTAACGTCAGCGATTTGTAAACTCTAGCATATTGCCTATTATTGTTTACTATTCTCCATTATTGTTTCCTGGATTTCTAAAAATAAGATTTCGACTTTATACGGAGAGTACTGAAGACGTCAGCAGAGTATGTGATGAATCTTTTGAGGTCATTATGAATGTATTTATGGATAGACATTTGAAATCTTGCATAATAACTGTCAAGTATCATTTTATCAGATACTATAACCATCAACTTCATTGACATATTTATCTTTGTATATCTTGCGACAGAACGAGACATCAATACATTAGATTCCATGCATGCAAACAAAAGTATAAACATTGTGCGTTACCGTGTCTAGCATATATACCATTCATTAAAGTTGTTACAGTTGATCTGATCAAAAACTTATATTCCGGAACACGTAATTAATTTGCGGTTTTATAGATTCATATTTTTCATCTATTTCAAAACAATTTCACGTATATATTTATACAGTTATTGTTAGTTCTTTTTTTGTGATTGAAGGAGACTGAGGGTCCGATGCAGACGTATAAGAGAGGATTGGCAAAAATGGACAGTATTCCTACTACTGAAGAACATAGGCAACTCAAAACAACTGTTAACAAATATCAAAATCATAATTTTTAACTGAAGTTTACACACAAGCATTCTTCATCGAACTCTGTCCAAGACAATCCTTTACAATTGTTCACAGTTGCAATTCATCCTATTCATGTCTGTTTCCAATTCTTGACACAGTGTGTTTATCAGTCTTACTCTTTTCCGTTTACCTTCAAGATTCCAAGTTTGAGCTTGCTTCGTGATGCAGTTTGATAATTTCTATAATATATGTTCTGTCCGTTTCCAATCTGTTTTCCTGATTTGCTATTTAGATGGAAGTTGATTTGTTTTCTTCATCAGTAGGCTATCGCTGATGGTGACTAACCAGGTAGATAACGATATATTCTCGAAAAAACTGCCATCCTGTTACTTACCCATAATTATGACAATGAAACTACCGATTAAGGAAAAGAGTTGTAAACTATTCACTATTGATAGTTGAATTCACGAGTCAATCAAAGCTGGACCACCAATAAAATCCCGGAAGTACTCAACGACTGGTTCTTCCCATCTATAGGAATCCTTAGTAGTGCATATCCACTGTTACCAACCACAGGGTCTCGAGTACAGGACCCTGGATCTCGTGCACGAATGCTTATTATCTAAACCACTAAACTGAAATCAAACGGTGTTAATGTCGAACTTCGATCGATCCATGATTTTATGCAGCGCTTCATCCATTGTCTTAGGTAAATAACTGTTTACACCCGACACTGAATGAACTCCACTTGCACGAATTCTCACTAGAACTGAAAGAAATTCATCTTCAAGCTAGTCTTCAGTGAGTACATGATTATTATCGGTATGGGGATTTTTGGAGATTCTAATGTTTTAACAGTTGAATTCATGAGTCAATCTAAACTAAAATACCATTGAAAACCTAAAAGTACTGAGTGGCCGTTTCGTCCTGGTATGGGATTTCTCAGCAGTACCCCTCCATGATTCAATATTGAACAACGATTTCATTAAACCTCAACAAATATACTTCCTACATCATGATTTTACTTACTTTCACTTACTTACGCCTGTTACTCCCAATGGAGCATAAGCCGCCGACCAGCATTCTCCAACCCACTCTGTCGTAGGCCTACTTTTCTAGTTCGATCCAGTTGTTGTTCATTCTTCTCATATCTGTCTCCATCTCTCGGAGTAATGTGTTCTTTGGTCTTCCTCTTCTCTTTTAGCCTTCAGAATTCCATGTGAGAGCTTGTCTGGTGACGCGATTGGGTGATTTCCTCAAAGTGTGCATAATCCATTACTTATAAGTAACCAGGATTATATTTAAATTTTCTATTTGCTAACAATTGACTGATTTTATGCTTTACAAATTTACACCATTCTGAGGTAACTGCCATGATTTATTGCATCTCATGTACCATTGCTTGACTTTAGGTGTTTGGTATATCTGCTGATGGTTAAGGTTGATAATTCTGTGTAGTCTTTTATTCATAACGTACGTTTGATGGGTATCCTAAATGGGAGAGTTTAAGTTAAATGTCATTACTTCCTTAAGTGTTAATCTTATACTGTGTATCAGGTAGGTATATGGAGTGTATATATACAATTAAGAAACTTAGTTAGCCGAGAAACAAAAGGTTTCGTTTATTGAATGATAAATATTTTTGAATGAAACTATATTATCAGTTTCAAGGATTATCACATTTATATGGTACATATGAATAGGATGTTAAATAGTAATTATAAATCAACCAAACCCATTCTACTACTGCACTTAACACTTCTTGGATTCGTTGTATTATGAGTTTTTCATGACTTCTAAGCTTAAATTATCCTATTACTTATCATAAACGTTACAGTTTGTCCCATACTCTTCCCTATGGGCCTTGTGAGTCTCCAGTATTTACTGGATAAAATAGCTCTTGAGTTCCGTTTAGGATCACATTAGGCAGGAGGAAAGATCATTCAGATAGCGACTAATTTTATTTCTTTGTTCTACAATCATTTGTGTTTTTAAATCCATTTTGACTGATATTTGAACTCATCTTAATTATTTTTTTTTAGATTACATTTAAAATGAATCTCAGTTAATTATATTGATTTTAATGTCGTTGAATGTCTTAGAATACACTGGATTCAGATTTTGTACCAGGGAACCTCAAACTGGGCAATCATTTTGTGCGTAACACGATTATTGAAAACTTGTAAGTGCTGAACGCTTGTTTCATCCTATTATTGAAACGCCTCAACAGTGTGTATCCATGACTTCGCAAACGCTAATCGAACCCAAATCTTTCAGTTTTGTGGGCAAAATGATTCGATAATTGTTCTGTTCATATGGATAAAAGTTTCTAATGGAAACTCATTATCTCATATTGAGGGGGGATTTAAAAAAATAATAATATCTAAGCAAATTTTGATTTACTGCATAGTAACAAGATGTTTATCAAGATAATTATACCATTTAAATCTTTTAAACAATGAAAAATATTTAGATATACACAAATATTAACTCTTGACTAATTTTCCCTACAGATATAATTTGTTATATTTCTAAATTTGTTTGATTTTAGAACAAGAAATTATGTGAAATCAAAGTTTAAATGTAGGAAGAATGAAAGATAATGGATGGGGGTGGAAATTATTGTTAACAATATACTTAATTACTTACGCCTGTTACTCCTCGTGGAGGAGCATAGGCCGCCCACCAGCATACTTCATTTAACCCTGTAGCTCTTCTAGAGTTACTACTAGTCTCAAGCCTGGGTAAAGGAGGAGGGTTGGGCATAGGATTAGCGACCCCATCTCGTAGAAAAACTAACTCGCTAAAAAAACGCTAACCAGAAAATATAATTCTAATCATTGTAAACAATATACATTTTAATATTTATGGTTAAGTAATACATTTTATTAGGAACTTCGCGTGGATACACGAATATGTGTGCTGATGAAAACATATTTTCTTAAATTTTTCACATGTGTATACATATACATAGATTAAATAATAATACGATAATATGATTGGTTAGTTATATATTTTTTAAATTGACCAATCAGAATTGTCTCAGCTAGAAAATGTGTTTCATTCGCAAAAAAATTTTTTTTTCATTTTTAGTTAGTTAACATGACAACTAATTAATGGTTGTACCGATGTGATAATATGAAGAGATTACCCTTTTTTTTTAAAAATTTTTTTAAAATATCTTCTCATAATCAATAATTGTTGAATTATAATTTGGATTATATTATATGGAACATTGAATATTTCATATATATTGTACTTCATTTATAAAACAGAAGTCATTTGGAAAGAAACAATTATCTCTAAGATATGATCTAGTAAGTAGATATAGTTCAATTTGTATTCTATTTATTTTAATGATATTACTGAACTATGTATTAAGTTGAATACATTTACTTCTATCTAATCATACCATTTATATGATTTAAACCATTTTTTTTATTGTAAGCAAAGATGGATAGTGGTTAGTAGTGGAATCCAGAAGGCATGTTTCGTCCTATTTAGGAGTCGTCAGCTAGATGTACTTGCATCTGAGAGTTGATGTTCACTCTTGAACTTGAACCCAGTACATTTCGCTTCAAACGCTATCATGTTATCCACTCAGCCATTGAGTCCTGATAGCCACTTGCTTGTGCAATGGGGTGAAGTTTAAATTCACTTAGTATTGTTTGTTTAAATCTTACCATTGGCGTTCAGGACGAAACGCGCGTCAAACTGGATTCCACTGCTAGCCACTATCCATCTTTGTTTACAATGCTTATGAAATTAGGCTATATCGAGGCAGTCCACACAGTATGCACATATGCTAATTACAGACTGACCAGTTGCAGTCCTAAACATCAATGGAAAGATTTAAACAAGTAATACTAAGTAAATTTTACTCTGTCAGTTTGTTCTCATTTTCCAATTCATAGGCAACAAATAAATTACAATAGTTGAGATCATGATCTCAACTATTAAAATTACTATAATATCCACAAAACCCCTTTTGATATTAAATAAATTTTAAATCAGTACCTGGTAAAAAGCAAAACAAACTATGTTATTTGTATAGAGTATAACTTAATGGATAGAATTTGATCAAACCCAAGGATTATACAAATATAACAGTATTTATTACTTAGTTACTATTCATTAAGAATACTTCTGTCCTATAGATGGTCAATTGATGTGTCATTAGCTAATTGATAATCTATTTGATCATGTAAAAGAATGTTTAAGGTTAGAATTACATAGGTCACATTAATTACTACGACAAAATAGAATGAATATGATACTTAGGTTGAATGCTACTTAACCATTGTTATTTATTATTATTTAAACACATAAATATTGGTACAAGGAGACACCAGATACATATGCGCCTCACAAATCTCATTCGATTTGTGGGAGGGCTGTGATACTGTCCAGGTGCCCAGACTGAAGCAGGTGGTTTTCTTAGGGGGCCACACCCGGAGCCTTTGACCTGAATGTCGGATCCACAAGGCAGTGGAGGATCGTAAGGAGATGCAGTCCCATGGTAGCCGGTGATCAACGGTTGATTCGTACGCCATTTGTTCCCCCAGGATACTGGAGCCAGCCCATGTGCATCATTGGTTTGGAATGAGGGTTTTCCAACTCCCCTAGGTGGACCCTCCATGTCCACCAAACCGGTTAAAGCGCTGGACATTTGCTCTTCGTCCGCTCACTTTTGTGAACAACACCCCCGCCACGAGAAGGTAGTTAGTAGGACTTCCCTGTTAGAGGCTATATATTCGCTGGCCATATGAGAGTATTTCGAAAGGGAGAGGTGACTCTGCTCACTCTCGGCCGTACCAGGGCATTTGGGGGCTTTAGTTTACATCACCAACAGTTTATAGTTAGATGATCGTTTAAATTATAAAGCACTAAATAGATGTTTCGTTTTAGAATAGGATTGTTCAACAGTGTTCATCTATGATTTTACTTCAAGAGATCGACTTCAGAATTTTTCAAGTTAGAAATAAAGTGTTAACCTTATGTTCAATGTCATATGATATCATGACAATAAGTCTCTACTGATTTCTGTACACTAGTGATGTAAGGAACATTTATTGTACTTAATATATTCATTTACTAAGTTCACTTTTAAGTACGTTCATTACTCCATAGAAGTTTTAATTATAATGTATGTTTACATCTTATGAGATATAGAATTGATTTGTCTGATTCCTTGATGCTCGATGAATGTAACTACTAGTACTAAAAGTCTCCATGAACTGTGGTGAACAGAACACTGGTTAGGGACAATCGAATGTATTTAAGCAAAAATCTCAGTAAATTCTGAAAACCATACAATGAACAGTCAATTTGCAAATTAACAACCAATTGTTTCAATCTTCACTGTTTCTTCTCTTATTCCATTGCTCATGCATTTTCCAAACGATTGCGCTTCATTTCAGTTCTTTCCTCATCGGTCTTCTGCCAAAATACATTCTATGTCTGACCCACACCATATACTACTTATATGGATATAAGTAGACCACACCACAGTACTATTTTATCAGTACATTGTTTATTCAGTTTGAATTGATTTATCGTACTCTGATTACTTACTCATCATTGTTACATCCCTTGGTCTAGTTGCTCTCTCTCTCTGTCTTTCTTTCTGATCCTATAGATATATATTTCGTAAGTGACCCATTGTTTAGATGCATGCAGATACGAGATAGATAATTAGTGAATAAAGACTGTTGCTTAAAAGCTTATCTCAAGAGTAGAGAGGTTGTGGGTTTTATTCCTAAAAGGACCATGTGTAAGTATGATTAAAGAGTCTCAAAATAGAACTTAATAGCTGTCTCCTTCTTGTTATTTTCTAAGACGGACCGAGTTCAATCTGTGCGAAGTATCATTTATCATTGAATAGTATTATGTTAAATTATGATTTTATGTTTTAAAAACCAACAATTAATTGATACATTTATTTACATTAAATAAGAAGGATTGGTTCAGTGAAGAGTTCTTTTTTCCCCAAGCTCTACAATCGTAAATATTTATACTTACTTTTCCAGCCATAAAAGTCTAGTAGGCCCTTCTGGAGAAGAATGCTACATTAAAGCACGGCACAACTACCGGGTGGAATAGCTGTTTTTTCACTGCTTACGCTGAACCATTACATAACTCTTACAACTCAATTTTTCTTGTCTTTTTGTTTTTCTTGGGCAGAATCATATTCTGTTACCACTCTTTTAAACTCTCAATAGTTATGCAATGACTCTTTGTAGCATTAGTAATCGTTTTTGGGTATTGATGGAGTGGCTGATTAGACCGATCTCCATCACTCTCATTACTGCTCACTTTAGTACATGGGATGGTTGCCATAATCCAGGAGACACGACGAGGATGTGTGAATCGGATTTTGCCTCCCACTTTTTTTTCGAAAATGATAATAATTACAATAATAACAGTAATAAACTTCTGTTAAACATAGTAACACTTAGATTCATTTAGTGTTATTTGTTTAAATCTTATCATTGATGTTTAAGACTGTTTAAGACTCAGTAGCTAAGTAGATAATGAGATGGCATTTGAAGTGAACGGTGATGGATTAGAAACCCGGAGTGAACATCAACTCTGAGATGCAGGTACATCCAGTTGATGGGTCCCAAGTAGGATGAAACAGGTGTCCTGGATTCCGCTTCTAGCCACCATCCATCTCTGCTTATAGTAACAGTTAGTCAGAATAGATAAAGGGATAAAAATGTTATTTTTATTAAGGAAACAAATAATAATTTTGTTTTTGGGAGCTAGAATCTTCATTATGAAGCTAGATAGATAAATTACATTTAGGAAAGGAAGGCTCAACATTAGAAAATAAAATGTTGAAATTGAGATCAACTCTACTCGAGAAGATCATAGAAACAGAGACAAATCCGTTGAAGGTGAAAGGTCCATGAAGAGCAAACAAAAAGGAAGCGAACTGCCATCAAAGAAGAAAAGAATGAAGAGGAAAGGAAAGAAAATTTCGAGAGATTAAAAGCATGATAGAAGAATAGATTGTACCAGTTTCTTTTGGACACAAAATTTTGGTTTATCAGACTCATTTACACTTGATTTTACTGGTTAACTTTAGAATTGATCAAATACTTCTCTGTTTTATCATTTATCTGTTTTTTTCATTACTCAATAGTGGTTTTCTGAAGTCAGTAATTCAGCAGTTAGCACATTAGGCATCTGAATTGAACTGTACTGGGTTACAGTTCAGGAGAATATATCAGCATTAAGATATGGTAGGTACATCTAACCGAGAAGTCTAAAATGAGATGAAACATGAATCTTGGATTTTACTGCTAGCCATAGTCTGTCTATTCAATTGAATATTTATTTCAAGTCTTGCCAGATTATTCAGTAAATAACAGTAAGATGGTGACACTAATCATACTGATTCTTGCTAGCTTTATTTATCAAACAATTTATCTGTTAGATGGTTGGAAGAAAGTACCTTGAAGCTTTAAAATTAAGTTTGCTACTAGCTGAAACGTTTCTGTAATATGTGGGTAATTTATAAATTAACAATTGAATGATTTATCAGTTTGAATTCACTTTGTAATGTTTGTTTGAATCTTCCCATTGATATTTTTAGGACTGCAACTGGTCAGTCTCTTATTGACATACTGTGAGTATTGCCTCGATATAGCCTTTATTCACAAGCATTATAAGCAGAGATGGATAGTGGCTAGCAGTGGAATCCAGTTTGACGCGCGTTTCGTCCTATTTGGGACTCGTCATCTAGATGTACATACACCAGTTGCAATCCTAAACATCAATGGGAAGATCCGAACAAACAATACTAAGTGAATTTAAACTTCACCCCATTGCACAAGCAAGTGAGTATCAGGACTAAGTGGCTAAGTGGATAATGAGATGGCGTTTGAAGCGAAAGGTACTGGGTTCGAGTGTTAGAGTGAACATAAACTCTGAGATGCAGGTACATCCAGCTGACGAGTTCCAAATAGGACGAAACGCGCGTCAAACTGGATTCCACTGCTAGCCACTTGTCATCTTTGATCTATCAGTTTGTTAAAAATACCTCATAGACTTGATAACACAACAGAAATTGACAATCATATCCTTCTTTTTTTAATCTACTATGAACTACAATTCAATTGTGTTTATCAGTCTAATCCAAGATGAAAAACATCATTGTCATTGGGACTTGTCAATTGGATATATAATTTCATTCTAAATATCGATGAGGATACAACGAACTAAGCCGCTGTACATATCACTTCAAAACGCCACTAATCTAACGAGTCTAGTTATCCATTATTATTTTCCATGTAAATGATGTTTATTTTTA